TTTGACCACTCCTAATGTTCTTGCTATCTCTCTGATGGATTTTTATTTTTGAAACCTAGGGATGGTCTGTTTCACTTGCATTGAAAACTGCTTTGACCACATGTTGTGGGTTCACAGCAACAGCTTTCAAAACAGAACACTACAACTAGAATCAACTCGAGACCTGATTAATTAATGAAGAAATAATAAAGGAATTGCCCACACCTGTCCTTGAAACAGCTTTTGAGTAAATTGTCCAATTACTTTTGGTCTCTTAAAAAAAGAGGAGGCTAAATATTAAAGAATAGCAATTCCTAAACATTTTCTGCAATTTGGATGTGAATACCTTCAAATTAAAGATGAAAAATTGAACTTAAAGCCCATATTCATTATTTAACTGTAACTTGAATTTATTTTGGTAAACAGCCAAAATAGCAAAATTTGTGTCAGTGCTCCAATATTCCCTTTCCTAACTATATGTATGTAGGTGTGTTGTGAATGTTGAGATTGGCACATGACCAAACTCTCACCAACGTACAGTCTCAGAAAATTACTAGCATACATTATTTATATTTAGATGAATGTATTAGATTTCACACTGTAAAATAGAAATAGAAAAATGAAATATGAAAATCATATTTCTGTTACAATGTTAAAATGTGTTGGTTCCACTGCAAGTCACTGATAGAGACAATAACACATTTTTAGGGATTTCCTTAGTAACATTCAGAAAAAAATGCAGATTTTTAAGCTGAAGATCCATTTAACATAAACCACAATGTCCCATGCTTAGACAACCTTCTTTGACTATAAGTTCTCATGTAAATGAACATAAAACATTGTTTTGTCATTTGAAACATGTGTGCATGGCCATATTTTGTCAGTTACATCTTTGGACTCTGACTTTTATTAAATGTAAAAGCAAGCATGGGCGTCCGCAGGGGGAGGGGGGGGCGGGGCAAGAGGGGGCACTTACCCCCTCCCCACCCGGATTTTTCAGTTTGTGCTGCTATTTTTTCATTTCAGTGTGAGAATACACTGCAATACCGGCACCGGCCTGTAGGTGGCACTGTGAATGGAGAAAGGCAGGAAGCTACAGCTTATCCCTGCCTCTCTTTCATGACTGAAACCGCAGGGGAGCAGCACAGAGGCAGCCTACAGATCAGGTAAGTTAGGGATGGGGGGGGGAGACAACATAGAGGAAGGTAAAGTAGAAGGAGCAGAAAGGTTCTGCAAGGGGCAGGAGGGGTCAGCAAGGAATAGAAAGGGACAGCAAGAAGCAGGAAGGGGTAGGAAAGGTAAAGGAGAAGGAGCAGAAATTAGCAGGAAGGGGTAGCAAGGAGCAGGAAGGGTCAGCAAAGACTAGGAAGGGGCAGCAGGAAGGGGTAGGGACGGTCTGCAAGGAGCAGGAGGGGTCACCAAGGAGTAGGAAGGGGCAGCAAGGAGCACGAATGGTCTGCAAGGAGCAGGAGGGGTCAGCAAGGAGCAAGAGGGGTCAGCAAGGAGTAGGAAGAGGCAACACGAAGCAGGAAGGGTATGCAAGGAGCAGGAGGGGTCAGTAAGGAGTAGAAAGGGTCTGCAAAGGGCAGGAGGGGTCAGCAAGAAGTAGGAAGGGGCAGCAGGAAGGGGTAGGGATGGTCTGCAAGGAGCAGGAGGAGTCACCAAGGAGTATGAAGGGTCTGCAAGGAGCAAGAGGGGTCAGCGAGGAGTAGGAAGAGGCAGCAAGAAGCAGGAAGGGTCTGCAAGGAGCAGGAAGGGGCAGCAAGGAGAAAGAAGGGGCAGCAAGGAGCAGGAAGGGGCAGAAAGATACAGAAGGAGCACAAAGGTAAAGTTGGAGAAGGAACAGAAAGGGTCAGCAAGGGGCTGAATGTTTACATGGTGTGTTCAATAAAAACATGGCAACATTTCATTCTTTGTGTGTTATTAGTTTAAGCAGACTGTGATTGTCTATTGTTGTGACTTAGATGATGATCAGATCACATTTTATGACCAATTTGTGCAGAAATCCATATCATTCCAATGGGTTCACATACTTTTTCTTGCAACTGTATTTATGGTGGGTAGGAGTCTGTATGTTCAGCATTTCTATTTGAAACACTGCACATATTGAGATATTTGCTGGGGGCTAGGTTCTGGACTGACAAATGTTAGTTATGTGCAACAAATTCGTCCATTGTCTATTCTCCATGAGAAGTCTTTTATTGGACCTCACACGACTGCAGTGACATCAGACTTGGAAAGCTGTGCCAGAAGCTTTGTAAGCTCTGACTTTCAGGATTTTTTAAGGTAAATTTTATTGTAATTTTAGTGTTGGTGGACAGAAATAATAATGCTCAATAAGTACAAAAAATGGTTGGAGTAACCCTTTCAGGGTTTTAATTCACGTAGAATTCCTGACAATTCTCACTTGAGTAAATATACCCAGTCCAGCATAGAACTCAGAGCTCTATCAGCTGTTCCATGACCATTTGAAACAGTCTGATTTTTAAACATACCCAGTCCAGCACAGAACTCAGAGCTCCATCAGCTGTTCCATGGCCATTTGAAACAGTCTGATTTTTAAACATACCTAGTCCAGCATACAACTCAGAGCTCCATCAGCTGTTCCATGGCCATTTGAAACAGGTAGCCTTCTGGAAAACTGACATTTCATTATATTTCTACATACCCTGTTAATTTTGTTGTATGTTTTTGTATTTAGTGACTATTATTTAGTTTTATTATTTTCAATGTATACATTTTCATGTATTTGTAACAATAGCCTGTGCTAATCATGCAAAGTATTTTATCACCTTTGTCTTTGTCCATCATGTTAAAAGTTAGTTTAACCAGCTCAGGCCCATATATATTTCTTGTTCCTTATCTTGCATAGCAAGACCACTTAATGTTATCTCACATATATATTATTAAGTGTTCTTGCATAGCAAGACCACTTAATGTTATCTCACATATATATTATTATTATTATTATTATAGCAAAATTTGCCACCCTAACTCCTCCCACAGTTTTACACTACATAGACAAAAATTTACCAAAACGTGCAGATTGTTCCCGATCGGATTGCTATTACTTTGTGGAACGTTTCGCCGAATGGTTCACGGAATATCGTCGTTCTTGTGGCGAAATTTGTCCCATAGGAATGAATGGCAAAGCTAGAGTGGGAGCTGGCAAAAGCTGAAAAATCAGGACATGATTTCTAAACTGTCACCACTCCCTCATTTCCAAGCCCACCTACACAAATCTTATATCAAAACGTTCAGCTATCCCTGCTGCCACTAGAAATGTCCACGGCTAAGCCATAGTCCTGATAGATTCCACAATATGACCATTTGTTTGCAACTCACGCCTTCCATTGACATTCATTGAAACTTCACTCAAGCCAGCTCAAACTTGAAGGGCAATTTCTAAACTGCGACTGTGCCTTCATTTTTAATACTTCAGAGACATACTATGCATCAAAATGTAGGTCTGGGTCTTGTGATTCCCACAATATAAAGCTCTTTGCTGTAGGATTTATAGTTTTTAAGATACGACCGTTTGAAGATGGCAACCGCCAAAATACTCTGACCTGTGTCAAGCTGCAGCAGCAAGTGATGTCATAGACAGGGCCTTTTGAACACCTGCTAATGTTTTTATAAATGTATGGTTTAATGTAACTGTGCAACAACGTTGCAATTAAATGTGCTAAATAAAGTATAACAGTTACTCCGCCCACTCCAGTTGTAGACTACTGATGGAGGCAAGAACACTTCACACAATTTCACCAGAAATTGTAGCTTTTCTAGTTATTATTATTATTATTATAGCAAAATTTGCCACCCTAACTCCTCCCACAGTTTTTACACTACATAGACAAAAATTTACCAAAACGTGCAGATTGTTCCCGATCGGATTGCTATTACTTTGTGGAATGTTTCGCAGAATGGTTCACGGAATATCGTCGTTTTTGTGGCGCAATTTGTCCCATAGGAATGAATGGCAAAGCTAGAGTGGGAGCTGCCAAAAGCTGAAAAATCAGGACATGATTTCTAAACTGCCACCACTCCCTTATTTTCAGGCCCGCCTACACAAATCTTATATCAAAACGTTCACCTATCCCTGCTGCCACTAAACATGTCAACGGCTAAGCCATAGTCCTGATAGTTTTCACAATATAATCATTTGTTTGCAACTAACGCCGTCCATTGACTTTCAATGAAACTTCACTCTGCAAAGCTCAAATTTGAAGTGCAATTTCTAAACTGCGACTGTGCCTTCATTTTTAATACTTCAGCGACATACTATGCATCAAAATGTAGGTCTGGGTCTTGTGATTCCCACAATATAAAGCTCTTTGCTGTAGGATTTATAGTTTTTAAGCTACGACCGTTAGAAGATGGCAACCGCCAAAATACTCTGACCTGTGTCAAGCTGCAGCAGCAAGTGATGTCATAGACAGGGCCTTTTGAACACCTGCTAATGTTTTTATAAGTGTATGGTTTAATGTAACTGTGCAACAACGTTGCAATTAAATGTGCTAAATAAAGTATAACAGTTACTCCGCCCACTCCAGTTGTAGACTACTGGTGGAGGCAAGAACACTTCACACAATTTCACCAGGAATTGTAGCTTTTCTAGTTATTATTATTCTTATTATAGCAAAATTTGCCACCCTAACTCCTCCCACAGTTTTTACACTACATAGACAAAAATTTACCAAAACGTGCAGATTGTTCCCGATCGGATTGCTATTACTTTGTGGAATGTTTCGCCGAATGGTTCACGGAATATCGTCGTTCTTGTGGCGAAATTTGTCCCATAGGAATGAATGGCAAAGCTAGAGTGGGAGCTGGCAAAAGCTGAAAAATCAGGACATGATTTCTAAACTGCCACCACTCCCTTATTTTCAGGCCCACCTACACAAATCTTATATCAAAACGTTCAGCTATCCCTGCTGCCACTAAACATGTCAACGGCTAAGCCATAGTCCTGATAGTTTTCACAATATAATCATTTGTTTGCAACTAACGCCGTCCATTGACTTTCAATGAAACTTCACTCTGCAAAGCTCAAATTTGAAGTGCAATTTCTAAACTGCGACTGTGCCTTCAATTTTAATACTTCAGAGACATACTATGCATCAAAATGTAGGTCTGGGTCTCGTGATTCTCACAATATAAAGCTCTTCACTGTAGGAGTTATAGTTTTTAAGATACGACCGTTTGAAGATGGCACCCACCAAAATACTCTGACCTGTGTCAAGCTGCAGCAGCAAGTGATGTCATAGACAAGGCCTTTTGAACACCTGCTAATGTTTTATAAATGTATGGTTTAATGTAACTGTGCAACAACGTTGCAATTAAATGTGCTATATAAATGATAACAGTTACTCCGCCCACTCCAGTTGTAGACTACTGGTGGAGGCAAGAACACTTCACACAATTTCCCCAGAAATTGTAGCTTTTCTAGTTAAGTGTTCTTGCATAGCAAGACCACTTAATATTATCTCACATATATATTATTATTATTATTATTATAGCAAAATTTGCCACCCTAACTCCTCCCACAGTTTTTACACTACATAGACAAAAATTTGCCAAAACGTGCAGATTGTTCCCGATCGGATTGCTATTACTTTGTGGAACGTTTCGCCGAATGGTTCACGGAATATCGTCGTTTTTGTGGCGCAATTTGTCCCATAGGAATGAATGGCAAAGCTAGGGTGGGAGCTGGCAAAAGCTGAAAAATCAGGACATGATTTCTAAACTGCCACCACTCCCTTATTTTCAGGCCCACCTACACAAATCTTATATCAAAACGTTCAGCTATCCCTGCTGCCACTAAACATGTCAACGGCTAAGCCGTAGTCCTGATAGTTTTCACAATATGACCATTTGTTTGCAACCAGCGCCGTCCATTGACATTCATTGAAACTTCACTCTGCAAAGCTCAAATTTGAAGTGCAATTTCTAAACTGCGACTGTGCCTTCATTTTTAATACTTCAGAGACATACTATGCATCAAAATGTAGGTCTGGGTCTTGTGATTCTCACAATGCCAAGCTCTTGTACAGCGGTTTTGCTAGTTTTAAGATACGACCGTTTGAAGATGGCAACCACAAAATACTCTGACCTGTGTCAAGCTGCAGCAGCAAGTGATGTCATAGACAGGGCCTTTTGAACACCTGCTAATGTTTTTATAAATGTATGGTTTAATGTAACTGTGCAACAACGTTGCAATTAAATGTGCTATATAAATGATAACAGTTACTCCGCCCACTCCAGTTGTAGACTACTGGTGGAGGAAAGAACACTTCACACAATTTCCCTAGAAATTGTAGCTTTCTAGTTAAGTGTTCTTGTACAGTACACTAATTTAATGTTATCTCACACATATATATTATTATTAAGTGTTCTTGCATAGCAAGACCACTTTAATGTTATCTCACATATAGTATTATTAAGTGTTCTTGCATAGTAAAGACCACTTCTAATGTTATCTCACATATATATATTAAGTGTTCCTGTGCATAGCAAGACCACTTAATGTTATCTCACATATATATTATTATTATTAAGTGTTCTTGCATAGCAAGACCACTTAATGTTATCTCATATATATATTATTATTAAGTGTTCTTGCATAGCAAGACCACTTAATGTTATCTCACATATATATTATTATTATTATTATTATAGCAAAATTTGCTACCCTAACTCCTCCCACAGTTTTTACACTACATAGACAAAAATTTACCAAAACGTGCAGATTGTTCCCGATCGGATTGCTATTACTTTGTGGAACGTTTCGCCGAATGGTTCACGGAATATCGTCGTTCTTGTGGCGAAATTTGTCCCATAGGAATGAATGGCAAAGCTAGAGTGGGAGCTGGCAAAAGCTGAAAAATCAGGACATGATTTCTAAACTGCCACCACTCCCTTATTTTCAGGCCCACCTACACAAATCTTATATCAAAACGTTCAGCTATCCCTGCTGCCACTAAACATGTCAACGGCTAAGCCATAGTCCTGATAGTTTTCACAATATAATCATTTGTTTGCAACCAACGCCGTCCATTGACATTCATTGAAACTTCACTCTGCAAAGCTCAAATTTGAAGTGCAATTTCTAAACTGCGACTGTGCCTTCAATTTTAATACTTCAGAGACATACTATGCATCAAAATGTAGGTCTGGGTCTTGTGATTCTCACAATATAAAGCTCTTCGCTGTAAGATTTATAGTTTTTAAAATATGACCGTTTGAAGATGGCAACCACCAAAATACTCTGACCTGTCAAGGCTGCAGCAGCAAGTGATGTCATAGACAGGGCCTTTTGAACACCTGCTAATGTTTTTATAAATGTATGGTTTAATGTAACTGTGCAACAACGTTGCAATTGAATGTGCTAGACTACTGGTGGAGGCAAGAACACTTCACACAATTTCTAGAAATTGTAACTTTTCTAGTTAAGTGTTCTTTGCATAGCAAACCACTTAATGTTATCTCACATATATATTATTATTATTATTATTATAGCAAAATTTGCCACCCTAACTCCTCCCACAGTTTTTACACTACATAGACCAAAATTTACCAAAACGTGCAGATTGTTCCCGATCGGATTGCTATTACTTTGTGGAACGTTTCGCCGAATGGTTCACGGAATATCGTCGTTTTTGTGGCGCAATTTGTCCCATAGGAACGAATGGCAAAGCTAGAGTGGGAGCTGGCAAAAGCTGAAAAATCAGGACATGATTTCTAAACTGCCACCACTACCTCATTTTCAAGCCCACCTACACAAATCTTATATCAAAACGTTCAGCTATCCCTGCTGCCACTAAACATGTAAACAGCTAAGCCGTAGTCCTGATAGTTTTCACAATATGACCATTTGTTTGCAACCAACGCCGTCCATTGACATTCATTGAAACTTCACTCTGTAAAGCTCAAATTTGAAGTGCAATTTCTAAACTGCGACTGTGCCTTCATTTTTAATACTTCAGAGACATACTATGCATCAAAATGTAGGTCTGGGTCTTGTGATTCTCACAATATAAAGCTATTCGCTGTAGGATTTATAGTTTTTAAAATATGACCGTTTGAAGATGGCTACCACCAAAATACTCTGACCTGTCAAGGCTGCAGCAGCAAGTGATGTCATAGACAGGGCATTTTGAACACCTGCTAATGTTTTTATAAATGTATGGTTTAATGTAACTGTGCAACAACGTTGCAATTGAATGTGCTAGACTACTGGTGGAGGCAAGAACACTTCACACAATTTCCCAAGAAATTGTAGCTTTTCTAGTTATTCTTATTCTTATTATAGCAAAATTTGCCACCCTAACTCCTCCCACAGTTTTTACACTACATAGACAAAAATTTACCAAAACGTGCAGATTGTTCCCGATCGGATTGCTATTACTTTTTGGAACGTTTCGCCGAATGGTTCACGGAATATCGTCGTTCTTGTGGCGAAATTTGTCCCATAGGAATGAATGGCAAAGCTAGAGTGGGAGCTGGCAAAAGCTGAAAAATCAGGACATGATTTCTAAACTGCCACCACTCCCTTATTTTCAGGCCCACCTACACAAATCTTATATCAAAACGTTCAGCTATCCCTGCTGCCACTAAACATGTCAACGGCTAAGCCATAGTCCTGATAGTTTTCACAATATAATCATTTGTTTGCAACTAACGCCGTCCATTGACTTTCATTGAAACTTCACTCTGCAAAGCTCAAATTTGAAGTGCAATTTCTAAACTGCGACTGTGCCTTCATTTTTAATACTTTAGAGACATACTATGCATCAAAATGTAGGTCTGGGTCTTGTGATTCTCACAATATAAAGCTCTTCGCTGTAGTATTTATAGTTTTTAAAATACGACCGTTTGAAGATGGCAACCACCAAAATACTCTGACCTGTGCAAGGCTGCAGCAGCAAGTGATGTCATAGACAGGGCCTTTTGAACACCTGCTAATGTTTTTTATAAATGTATGGTTTAATGTAACTGTGCAACAACGTTGCAATTAAATGTGTTATATAAATGATAACAGTTACTCCGCCCACTCCAGTTGTAGACTACTGGTGGAGGCAAGAACACTTCACACAATTTCCCCAGAAATTGTAGCTTTTCTAGTTAAAAGTTACTTTTTAATCTACAATCTTCTCAGTAAATCATACACAGGTAGAATGGCATTTGTTTCTTTTTTTGTTTATTCTCTATGATATTCACCATTTAGGGGTTACCCCCCTTTTTTGTGCCCTCTACCTTGTGATATCTAAATTTTGGCCCTAGGTTAATTCTTTTTGTTTTCCTCGTATAATAGCATTACACATAGGCTACACATTGTAGGCTGTATGTAGAGTGGGATGATTTAAGTCAAG